TTGTATAAATAACAAATTTTAAATTAAACACATTATATATATAACTACAAACATAATTATTCCAAAACATTAAGTACAAAGTAAAAAAATGTAATTACAGGCCATATATTACATAAAAAAAATTACTTACAATTACCTATAAAAAATTTTACAAACAATTAATTTGAGGCGGAGGTAATACTAAAGAGTAAACTGTAAAAGACCATAAATGCACTATAACTCCAACAACTCTTGACTTGCCTCGGAATGTCCACACTCCATGCAAATGCACAACATACCCTCTGCCGGAAATCCCAACCAGCATCCATGGCTTCCACTTTCCGCCCTCTTTTTCTCTTTCTCTTACTCCTCCCTCTCTCCGCCACTGCCAACCTCCACAAATCTAAAACCCTCCTCATATCAAGCCTCCTTTCCTCCACCTACATTCCACCTCAATGACACCCCACCAACCACCTACTTCGAAAGTCACCAAACCCATCAGACTTCCCAAGACCCAACCTTTCGTCTATCCCATTCTCCACCATGATTCGGCTATACATATGGGAAACCCCCAGTTCTAGCAAACTACACCCCACCTTGTCCTGCCCATCTCACGATTTCTCTAAAATTGTCCTTGAATGGAATGCCACCAGCAAAGGAAGGCAATTTGATCGGATTTTTGGGATTTGGCTAGATGGATCGAGCTTCGTAGGAGCTGCACTGCAGAGCTAAGAGCTACTGGGATTGTGTGGAGTGTCAAGAAGGACATAACAAGGTATTACTCTTTGCTTGTTAAGAATGAGACAGAAAGTCTTGCTGTTTACTTGGGTAATTTAGTTGATCGAACTTATACTGGCGTTTAGCATGTGGACATAACTGTTTACTATTACCCTGCTGGGAAGAAATTCAATGACTTTGAGAGCAATTTGGAGAACTTGGCATCTGGGTATGGCTCGAGGGCTGATTTAATCTTACCCATTTTACGGAATTTTCCATTGAATGATGGGTTGTGGTTTGAAATTTAGAATTCCACATATACTGAGTGGAAGGAAATCAAAATTCCTCAAAATGTGTTTAGGGCTGTGTTAGAGGTGTATGTGTCATTCCATGAAAGTGATGAGTTTTGGTATGGAAATCCACCAAATGACTATCTTTTGTTATGTCAATGCTCTAGCTTCCATCCTCTGTTTCCTTTCCTTCCTGCTTCTTTTGGTGATTTTTCTCTTTTATTTGATTTTTGACTGTAAAAATTTCTCAATTGCCTTAATATCATAGTATTTTTACAGTTTTAAAATATATTCACTATTTTCTATTTCTATATATATATATTTATTTTGAAATATTAATTGTATTTTTAAAAAAAATACAATTTATTTGGTTAATTCAGTTAACTTGATTAATCAAAATTTAACCAAACCAACAAAATTTGAATAAAAAATCTAAAATTGTTCTTAAGGACAATCTTTGCAAGGATGTGAAGGGATAATTGTTTTTTATTTTTAGTACAATTTATTCCTTTTATAACTCAAATATCAACACTAAATTAACCAAATTGATGGCCAAAAAAATTAACCAAATTTAATTGTTGCCTAAAAAAAAAAACCCAAGTTTAATCAAAATTTCAATGGGGGCGCCTGATCTGATTGAGCATTCTATCCAGGATCACACGTGGCGACATCACGGCCTTTAATTGAACTTACCAGCTTGAGTCAAACCCCGTTTTTCTCAAGAACAGTGAACAGAGAGAGCGCGAACTCCATCTCTCTCCCTCAAAATCTCTTAACAAAATGAGCTTATCATCGCCAACCAGGTACGTCGTTCATCAGTTTCCAAATACCCACAATTTTTCCCCCACAAATTTCGATTCTTTTGTTGAAAATTTCTTCTCGTTGAGCTCCAATTCTCATTTTAGATAACCAGTTATACTCAGTGCGTGCAGTTTCCGAGGACTCAAATCCCGCAGCTTGAATCTTCATTTGTACTCTGATAATGGTAGCTTCAATGGAGCTTTTGTGCTATGTCCTAAAAGAGCGAGCTCTAATTGCAAGAAATTTTTTGTATCCTGATCTTCTTCATATTCTCCTGGTAATGTTTACGAATTAATCTCACGAAGATTTTTTCTTCCATTTTTTGTTTAGTTTAAGTAATTGCGTTTTGTTAAATGAATCTGATAATAGGGTGTTTTTTTGTTTCTTCTTTCTGGCTTTGGTTGATTTTGTTTGTTGTTTATGTGGTTACTGTAATTTTTTAGTTTTCAAATTAAGGTTCCTTCGATTTCTTTGACTCGTTAAAGGAACCTAGTGAGGAAAAGACCGAGAATGAGTCTCTTTGTTGGTGCTTGGTGAATTGTGTTGTATGGTTTGGCAATGATGATAAATGTGGAAGGGATTTAATTTGGAAGTGAATGCTTTAGTGGGAAGCTTAATTCTGTGAATTGTGGTCACTTGAAATTATTATGTCATGTCACGAAAGATTGTTGACATGAGACTAGCAATCCTATGTTGAACAATTGAAAATCCAACCAACAAGCTCTTAGCAGAGTTTGTACCCACTAATTACAAAGCTTCGGTAATTAGTTGTGTCAACTATTCCTTCCCGAACCTTCGGTATTTAATATTTTCTTCTTGCAACATACACAAGTTCCCAAGTTTCTTAAGGAAGGCAGAGAGTTTAAGATGAGAAATAGAAGGGATGTCATTGTCCAGATTAAACTTTTCTTATAACTTCTTGATTGGTATAGATTTGTTTGCTTTTGAAAATCTTATCAGGGTTTACCTAAGTTCCAACTTACTACAAGGATCACTTCCCATTTTATCAACAGCTTGCGATGTTATGCAACTCTTCATTTCAGGGAATAATTTGACTGACGAAATCCCTTCTTCTTATTGCAATTTTACTTCTCTTAGAGTTCTAGCTGAATTGGAATATATTGGACACATCCCTAAAGAACTGGGAGAACTCAAGTCACTTCATGTTCTAAACTTGTCTCACAACAATCTCACTGGTCAAATTCCATCATCTTTGGGGAATATGATAGAGCTTGAATCTCTAGATCCCTCATCAAACAAGCTTGAAGGCTGGATTCCTGAGCAGTTGACAAGTTTGACATTCCTTTCAGTTTTGAACCTCTCACATGACAAACTTAAAGGTGACATTCCTCAAGGGAAGCAGTTCAATACTTTCTCAAATAATTCCTACATTGGGAACTCTAAGTTGTTGGGAACTATGGGTTGTGTGGATTTCCATTGACAAAGGTGACATTCCTCAAGGGAAGCAGTTCAATGTTTTCTCAAATAATTCCTACACACTATAGCATTTTTGCCATTTAGCTCCGAACGAAAATTGTATGTATATGGTAAAAATCTGTAGGTATATCACATTCGAGGCCTATATTTATGGAGAAAAAAGTGTAACTATATATCCTGTAGCTATAGATAATTAACTATGCAAATGTACATATTCTTACAATATTATAAGTCGTAGGTAAAAGATTAATAATCCTATACCTATATTTAAAAAATAATAAGTAAAACAAAATACCTACGATATACACCTGTAGGTAAAGAACAATAGCAACGACATAATAATTGTTGCCATATTAGCTTTTAATAATTATATTTATCATTATTAAAATTATTTTATAACAAAAATAAGTTATTATGTAAAGTAAGTTCAATACCCAAAAAATGTTGTTACAAAAAAAGAAATTATACAACTAAATTAGT